CGGCTGGTGGCTCGGTACTTAGCTTAGGTATTTGAATCAAACGCATTAGGTCATATCCATTGTATTCGCCCTCTCTGCTGAGTGTAGAGGGGGACTGGCGTTGGCCGAGTGCGCGCCGCAGCGGGCGCAGCGGGCGCACGTCTCGAGTTTAGTCACCATCTGCGGTGGGCATAGGCTGGCGACAGGGTCCAGCTGAGCTTGAAACGTCCAGCAAGACGGCACGGGAACCGACTTTACCTTGGACAACACAGACGGGCACCTCGATAAAATCAACACGATTGAACCTCGGCAGCACACCAAAACGAAGCGCACTCGACCGAATCGTCGCAACACTGCTGCTGCCCCCGGGGCACATGGCCAAGATGGCGCAGGTGTTCCTCGACCTATTCTACTCGCTGAGCAATTGCCTCACTTGCTTCTCTGGTTCGCCGACGCTCAAGATCAACAGCCGGAGCTTCAAGATCCTAAGGCTGCTGGGCGAGGTTGGTTTCTGCTCCTCCCCAGCCCCTTGTCCACCTATTCCCCTTGCTACGCATTGCCAAACAACGACGACAACAACAACAACAACAACAACAACAGCCTGCTAACCCCGCACCCTCTTCCTCGACTGGCAGGGCGGCTTCTCGTACGTCTACCTCGTCCAGGACACGTCGACGTCGGAGCTGCTGGCGCTCAAGAAGATCCGATGCCCGTTCGGGGCCGAGTCGGTGGCGCAGGCCATGCGCGAGGTCGAGGCCTACAAGCTCTTTGAGCACTCGGACGGCATCATCCACAGCGTCGACTACAGCATCTCGGGCGAGCGCGGCGGCGACCCGGGCTCCAAGACGGTCTACGTGCTGCTCCCCTACTACCGCCGCGGGAACCTGCAGGACATGATCAACGCCAACCTCGTCAACCACACCCGCTTCCCCGAGAAGAAGCTGATGCTGCTGTTCCTCGGCGTCTGCCGCGCCCTGCGCGACATGCACGTCTACCGCGGCGCCGGCCCGGGCGGCGCGGCCGAGGCGGGTGCGAGCGGTGGGGAGCGCATGGAGGTCGCGGCCGCGGGCGGGGGAGGTGGTGGTGGCAAAAAGAAGAAGAAGAAGGGCGGCGCGGCGGCGGCCGCCGCCGCCGCGTCGTCGAAAGGCGCGCGCGCAAAAGAGACGGGTGCGGATGAGGATGATGAGACGGCACAGCAGCTGCCGCTGATGGTGGGCGACGAGGACCGCGAAGGGCGCAACCGCGGTGGTGGCGGGCGTGGGCCGGGCGGTTCCTCCAGGTCGTATGCGCATCGCGACATCAAGCCGGGTATGTCATGACTCCTTCTACCTCCTTTCTTCTTTCTCCTGCGAACCCGCTTGCTGACTCCAACGCACAAAAAAAAACCCCCAGGCAACATCATGATCTCGGACAACGGCGCCGACCCCATCCTCATGGACCTCGGCTCCATCGCCGAGTCGCCGCTGGCCATCACGTCGCGGTCCATCGCCATCGCGACGCAGGACACGGCGGCCGAGCACTCGACCATGCCGTACCGCGCGCCCGAGCTCTTCGACGTCAAGACGGGCACCGTCGTCGACACAAAGGTGGACGTCTGGTCGCTCGGCTGTACCCTCTACGCCTGCCTCGTCGGCAAGTCGCCCTTCGAGGCCCGGTCCGACGAGACGGGCGGCTCCCTCAGCATCTGCGTCCTCGGCGGCGACTGGCGCTTCCCCGACGAGGCCCCGGGCGGCAAGAAGAAGGCCAAGGGCAAGGACCCCGCCGGTGGTGCCGGTGCCGCCGGCGGCGGATCGTCGGGCGGAGCCGACCCTAGCATTAGCGAGCCCATCCGGGACGTCGTCAGGAGGTGCCTCAAGGTCGAGCCGAGCGAGAGGCCAGACATTGATGAGCTCATTGACCTGGTCGAAGCCGTCATTGAAGAGATACCCGAGGATGACGGCTCGTGAATCAATGGGGAGCAGCTCACACTCCAATCTCTAATTGTTTCTTTCTTCTCCCCACACGGCGGCTTTCATGACGGAGAGGGACAAAAAGATGTACATGTTTTTCACCACTACGCCAGTGTTATGAATACAGCCATGTAAGATGATGGACTGTGATTTAGCTCTCAATATCAAAGTTACGGCTCATACCTCGCTAGCTCACCCCAGATCATGTTTCCTTCTTCATCTTGCTGCCTTGCACACAAGGACTTGCCCTTACGGTTGTTGGCATGATCAACGTTGTTCGTTTTGTCTACCGCATGATTAAAAAGACAATATCTAGAGTACTCGATGCCCTTTCCCCTTCCAAGACAGTGGCCGGCAAAACATCAAAACCCAGCGGGTATCCTAGAGCAAACACACCTGACCCTCCTCCCCGCCGGCCCCCCCTCGAGTGTGAGGCGCATGAAGAGTGGAAGCACAAGATAAAGAGAAACAAAGGCCGAGGGAACTAGTCTCGCAAAGCAACAGAACCTTGGTAGAAGGGCGGCAGGAGGTTGAATGGGAGCGCCGTCACACTCGGTTCGCTTGTTTTGCATCAAGGAAAACCGGTTACTGTCCCCACCCAACAGCGAAGATGCCATCATCGCAGGGCCGTAACAACTCGAATTAAACAGCGCCGACCTCGATAGCAAGTCGAGAAAACATCGTTCATTGCTCCCTGATACGCGCCTCGCCGAGACAAGTTTGCCCCAGAAAACAAAGTCCGTTATGAAAAGGTTAGGCGTTTCCTGCGGAAGGGGCCGGCAGACATATTGTACAGTGTAAAAAGTGGTCGAGAATAGAGAATAGGAAGCCGACTTGGAGTCGAACAGGGCCAAAAGAATTACCAAGCGTAGTTGGTTGATTATATAAGGTAGTTTGGGTCATGGCGGCTGCACTCTTCGCCTGGTTCGTACTCGACCGGCTGAGGTGCTGAGGTGTTGAGTTGTAAAACAATGGTCATGTCGTCAATTGGCTCGCAGACACGAGTTTCTTGTCTGTCTGTTTAAAAGGCGTCCTCGAAGGGGCAGTCAACGCTGTCGTGCCCGTCGCGCTCGCACAGAGCGCACCACTTCTCGACATCGACGACGCCGCTCTCCTTTCCGGCGACGGGGCCCGACTCCATGGGGTTTGGCAGGATCTTGACGTCGGGCGTGGGGACGGGAGCCTTGGTCCGCATGGGCGACAGCGGCGCGGGCGTCGCCGAGGCGTCCTGGCCCCTCTTGGGCGACAGGTTTCGGACCCCGGAGTTGCGGACGACATCCTTGCCGTTGCGCATGGCGCCATCAGCACCGCTGCCCGCCCGGCCGTGGTAGCCGCGGGCCGATGCGGGCGACCCGTTGGCGTTGCCGTTGCCCTGGGGGCCGAACATGTTGGTGCAGTTCAGGATGCCATGGCCAGACGTCTCGCACAGCTCGCACCAGAGCGTGCTGTTCTCGGTCGCCGTCGAGTAGGCGTCGCTCTCGGGCATGGTATCGAGAGTAGTGGCACGCGTGTGCGTCTTGCGGGGACCCTCAGGTGACCGCGGCTCGACCTCCCGCGAGAGTATGGCGGTGCCCCTCGAGTCACGGAACGAGTCGTGGTCGATGGGTACCACCGTAGCGGCACTAGCCCGGTGGCTGTCGATGCGGAGCTGGTCAAGCTCGCGCTCGATATCGCCCTCGCGGCCAGACTTGGTGTTCAGCAGCGCTCGAAGCTCAGCCACTTCACGCTCCAGACGCTCACGCGCGATGCGGTCGTTGGAAGCGCCTTTGAAGGGGGCCTGGCTCAGGGTGGGCGTCCTGTTGGGATCGTCGCCAGGCAGCCCGGGAATCGAGTCCCTGCTCAGTGAGTGGATGATGGCCTTGAGACCTCTAATCTCGTCCTCCTTCTGCTCCAGCTCCTTGGAGCTGGATCCGCCTCGGGTGCCGTTGGCAGGCCCTGCGGAGGCCGCTTTCTCGCGCTCCCGCCGCAGCTCCGAGCGTGTCCTCTCAACCTCGCCCCTAAGGAACTCGACTTCGCCACGCGCCTCGGCCTCGCCTCGCCTGGCGTCCTCGAGCCCTTCCTCGAGCTCCTGCACCAGCTCTTCCAGCTGCTTAAGCTGTTTGGCGACGGCGTTGACGTCCGTGGTGCGATCTTGGTAGTCGTGCAGCTCCTGCAGCACCTCCTCCAGCTTCTTCTCGTACACCCTCTCCGTCTCGGTGCTTGCCAGCTCCAGCGTATCAATAGTGCTCCTGAAGTCGGCCCTGTGGGCGTCGAACTCGGCAGTGAGCATTGCTATCTTCTCGTTCTTTTCCCGCAGCAGGGCTCGGAGCTGCGCCGTGTCCTTGTCGTCGAGGCTCCCCCGCCGGCCCGGCATTGGTACATCGCCTCCTTCAACATGGGCCTCGAAAAGAGTCTGTAGCTCCGTCAAGTTGCTCTCCATCTCGGCCAGCGACTGGGCCTGTTCCTTCAGCTGCCTGTCGCGGTCCTCGAGCTTGGCGCGAAGACGCTCCATTTCTTCATTCTGAGAGGCGTTGCCGTTGGCGGTGCGGGATGGCGGACGCAGCTTGGCGCTAAGAGAAGATATGGAGCCTATGCTGCCGTTGGTCTGGGGCATTTTGAGCCCAACGGGTGTGGTCTCGTCGTCGGTGAAGCCGCTTTGGCTGCCGCCACCCAGTGCGGACGCGCTGCGTGGGCCGACGCCGCCAACCCTGCTCTCCTGCCTCAGGCCTCCCCGCTTGCTGGGATCACCGGCGGTGCCACGAACGCTCTGGGAGAACTTGCTGTTTGGCGAGCCGCCGTACCTTGGCCCAGCCACTTTCGGAGCAGGCGTTGCGATGGAAGAGCGGGGGGCAGGCGTCATCTGCAGGCGGCGAATGGGGGACTCGGGCCGTGCTATTGACATTCTAGGCCTCTTGCCCGTTGGACTTGCAGTGCGGCTTGGACCGATAGACTGGCTGAACTTGGGTAGTGATGGCGTTGGGGGAGTAAAGTTTGTCGAGTTCTGGTTCCCGGCCTTGAGGCCGGGCATGGAGGCCGTCGGTGTTAGGGGCATGGTTAGTGGTGAGCCTCGCCTGACGGCTTTGGAGAGTGGTAGGAAGATGCCAGCGCCTGCCCTCGTGGTGGTGAAATAGGAAACGCTGTAGGCGCAGCAGAGTCAGCAAAGTTCAAGGACAAAATTATCCAATAAAGCAAGCGTGAAGGCGCTAACTCGAACGCGTTGGGAGGCGGCAGGGGAGGCACCAGCTGGGCCAGGAGCGATAGCTCGGATGGCATGGTCAATGGCCCGAAAGCCACTAGAAGCCGAGCCAATAACCAAGCCATTTCCAAGTGCCCAATGGGCAGGCTGGACGGCACACGGACGGGGATGGGAGGGAACCAGGTATAGCAGGGCCGAGGCAACGGGGCCTGGGCAACAGGCAGACAAGCGAACAGTAACTCACCCGTCGACGTCACCATTGTTCTTGCCCCTCAAGGCGAATTCCGGGTGCAGCTCGACGCCGGCAAAGACCCCCCTACGGCCGCCGACGGAGCCAACGAAGCGGACGGTGCCAACCATGTTGCCAGGCACATCGACTGAGTCGCCGACGGCGACGGCGCCGTGGGGGTCGGCCGTGGACGGGCGTGCCGGGCTCGAGATCGGGGGCAACATCCTGGTGGGGGACGCGGGGGCGTCTTCGTCGTTCAGGACGGAGTGCAGGGCGTAGGACTCGGTGTCATCGGGGATGGAGGCGAGCGAGTTCGGGGTGAGGGCAGCGAAGGAGGCCTTGCGCGACAGGCCCGGGGGAGCGAGGCGCGAGTGAGCCGTGTAGAGCGAGTTGAGGTTTGGCGTCGACGCCGAGGCTAGCGAGCCCAGGCCTGAGGATCTTCGCGGCGGCGCACGGGAAAACGCTCTGAGAGGAGCAGGCGCCAGGAGGCTGTGGTGCGGGATGGACGAGAGCGGCGTCGTCGTGAGCGTCGTGGTGCTGGTGGTGAAAGACATTGTGTTTTTTCCCACGGTCGGGCCGGCAGCACCCCTAGCGTAATTTGTTTAGTGTTTACCGTGCGCTGGAAACGGAGGCCAGACAACCAAAAACCCCCCACACCAAGCCCAACACAAGGCCGCCACCACTGGATTCTGCCCGACCGAACCGCGTATGTGCGGCCAAGAAAAGAAACAGGAAAAAAAAAATGTTGGACAACAAGAGCCAAAGGGCCGACGCGTCAGACGGACGGGCGGCCGTCAAGCGTCAAACAGCCTCAACCTCCGCCTAGCTCAATTGGCCGACTCTCAAGCCTCAAGAGCTCTCAAGAGCTCTCTTGGTTTCTGCAAGGCGCCGCAGGTTTCTGCCCACTATGAACCGCTCGTAGTCCTGGTGACCCGTCCACACACACCCGCGCACCCGCCTCTGGGTGCTCGTGCCAGACGTGATGGTTCGTTGGGGTATGTTTGGTTGCACGCAGCCGGCCGTCACAGCGTCTCGTTGCAGGGAGTATGTCTATCTCCCGTCCCCTCGTATTCGTGGGTCCCGGACGGGCCGTGGTCGCTAGCTCGCGTCGTACAGGCAGGGCCAATATGTCCGCCTTCGAGATCTCCCGCGGATTGGCAGGTCGGCCACAAGGGATTCCCCTCGAGGGCGGCTGCAGCGCTCTGTGGCACGAGCTGGTCGATGAGGGGGAACACACAAATTTGTGGGCCGTGCTGTCGTCTCTGGGGCTCTCACCCTGGTGATTAATGCTGCCCGGTATGGTTCGACGTGTTTGCAATGAGCGCAGACTCTGGTGTCGGGCTGGTCGCTGTGGGCGGGAAAGACGATTATGCTATAGCTGGGCCAGGCAATACCCGAGGCAGAAACACAGCCCGCAACCAATGTCCTGTGTTGAGCTTGAGCGGAGGAATGCCGGCCGGTTCGTCGGTCGGACGAGCCTCAGACATGAAAAGACGACCCGCCAGAAGAATGGAGGAGCAGCGGAGGGTCTGAGCTATCAATGTTATAGGCACAGCTCGCTGGCCTCGTGGGGGCGCGATGGAGCTAGTGCAGGCAAGCTGCAGCGCCCCTTGCTGGATAGCAACTACAAAACGCTGAGCAAAATGGAACGGCGGCCGGAAGCCAAGCCGAAGAAGGTGCGGAGGGGGAAAGTAGATGTTACGCTGGAGGAGTGAGGAGGGCTGGGAGAGGCAGGCCAGCGTCTACTTGACATTAACAAATACAAGAGACCATATGAACCCCACGGGCTGTCGTCTCCGTTTGTGTCCTCCCCCTCCTGCGTGGAGCTCCTTTGTTTTTGCATGGGCAAGGCCGACGAGAGCCCACCTCCCTCAGTTCGTGCCTTCGCTTCGCCAAACAAGCCCTGCATCGGCGTCCAATTGCATGGCTGGGATCCAGAAACGTACGTCCTCTGGGTTTGTCTGGCCAGCTCCGGATGCTGGGGGCTGGCGTCGATGACGACTGCGCCGGCAAACGGGAGACGCACCAGCCAGGGGAGGTATGCAGCTGGCCTGGAGCTGGGGCAACAGTCGCTGCAACAACAAAAACAAGGTACCCAACGGATGTGCGCTAGCAGCAGAAGCAGCAGCAGCCGCAACATCAACAAAGCCACACGATGCCTTCCCCCTTTTTCGTGTCTAGAGGCCTCACATGAAAAAACACAACGACAAAAGTCGAACCGCGAATCGAGCCCCTCTACTGGCTATAGCAAACACACCGTGCCCCCTTGCCCCCTTGCCCCCTGTCATCCCGTCTGGCCGCCCGCCAAAAAGGGACGGAAAAAAATACAAATGGAAAAAAAGAAGTGACAGACCAAAACGGGTCAGCCACCCCGATGTGGAAAGAATAAACATTGGCCACCGCCAATCGCCGTAAGACGCAACATGTCGGTGTGGGAGCGGCTCGGCGACGGGCTGTCACGCATCTCTTTGCGGCAGGAGGCAGTGCGTCTGTGGGGTCGTGGCCCGCCAATGGCACGCCCACATTTCGAAGCGTCACATTCATCATCTCGGACCTTCCAGGTCCCAGTGGTCCTCTTTTCTCCGTCACTCCGTCCACCCACCCATTGATGTCCACTCACACCAGCCCTTGCTCCTTCCGCCGCCTGCTCTGGTGGGCAGGTCATCACCCATATCGCGCAAATGGTACGTACATATGTAAGTCTACCTAGGTACGCACATGTGCGTCTGTCTGCAAAGCCGATTTGTTTTGTGCTTCGCGTATCTGCTTCGTGCGAGACATGGCATGACGGGGCCCAGGTTGACCGATCGACGGGGAATGGAGAACAAGACACGGGCAGCCCTTTAAGAGTGGCCCCAGTGAGGAGTGAATGAGTTCTTCTGATGGGTCCCGGCGGCGGAGGAGTAAAGTTTGACATCGATTTTGGAGCAATGCTCTTCTTTTATCTTGTTCGTTCTTCCTGACCTGCCAGCGAACACGCAAATAATCCGGCGCCTCCGAGAAGGGGTAGCCCTGCGAGGTTGTCGTGTCCCCTGATCCGCCCGCCTGGTTCACCGGAAAGTCTCCTGAAGCGGAAACGAATTCCTAGACAAAACCTTCCTCGCATTTTTGGGTTCCTCGTGGCACACATGGTTGCTCAAAAACCTATTGGACTCGCACCACCCACTCGGGTATTTCCCAAAGCCTCTGGTCATATTCTTGATTCCGTTCCGGCGGGTCTATCTCGGCCAAAGCGAGTCACCTTCGCTTATCTCCTTGTGTATAATCTTATGCATGGGTAGAGAAGAGCTGTCATGGAGAAGCAGGCAACGTCATTATCCCAAATGTTCTGGAGTCGCTCAGCGGCTAAAACGTCAACATCCGTGGTCCGTGGTCCACGGTCTGTGGGTGCCGCTTGTACCGTCTTGATCCTAGCCCCCACGCCCCCCTTGCTTGCCCTGGCAGCCAGCCACCCAGCCCCGGAGGGCGATGGCGCCGAATCCTTGTAGCCCTCAGCTTTGGATCGACGTAGCCCTGAGCACCAAACTGGAGCGACATCCCGCCATATCTGGTAAAGTGTCATAGCTGAAGCCATCCCAAAGGAACGCCACTCTCCTCTAGTGATATCCGCCCTGAACCAAGGCGGCTTGTGCGTTCGAGGAGGCCTTGGTTTGAGCCAGCTCCCCGGACCTTGCGCTGTTCCCGCGGCTCGAGAAAAACAATCCCGTGACCCCGGTCAAGGGTTCATGGGCAAGCAACGACTTGTCCCAAGAGACCGTTCTTTTGCAGACACAGTGTTCTGACTGGTAGCTCCAAAGTCGGGATCAGTCGTGACCCCTTTCAATGATATCACCCCGCCCCAATGGCCGGGTGCCATCATTGAGCACCATGGCCTCGCGATGCTGGCGTCGGAGCCGCTGCTCCTCCACGCTCTGCTCAAGTACCCTCGGCTGGAAAGACTCAACTTCCCTTAGGTCGACTCCCTCCCCCGTGATAGACAGTACTATCCTGATGCCGTTGATCTCACCTGCCTCCTCCATCGCCTCTAGTTCGCCGTCGCCATCGGTCGCGATCAGCCTGGCGCGCTGCAAAGCCTCATAGCCGCCACGTGTGTCCCTAATCCTACGGCAGATCTCGCATATCCTATTATGCCTGTGGCTCATGTACTGCAAGAAGTTGTGTTGTCGCTCTTCGTCCGTGTCACCCCACCGCTGCTTGACGAGCCACTTGTCGATGAACTTGGCCTTGACAAGCTTTTCTGGGTCGTACTTGTTGAGCAACTGGATGATGAACATGAGGCAAAACTTCTCCGACATGTCTCTGAGGTAGTAGTCGTCGTAATACTTGTCGTCAAGCTTCCTGCGCGGCGACTCTTCGGCGCAGAGCTCTAGGGATCTGACCAAGGCCGAATATGCCTTGTCCGTGTGAAGGATGTGGAGGCTGTCTGTTTGGGAGAGTGGTCAGCACTGTTCGGCAGTAGATATCTTTAGGGGCCGGCGGGTAGATGTGGTAATAGCTCTCGAGCCGGTCTCACTTTGGTCTGTGATGAGCGCTAGCGTCCTCAAGCTCCTCATGCGCTCCTCATAGTCGGGTCTCGTGATGCCCCAGAGCAGGTAGTCCACACTTTCCGTCTCATTGAGCGCTCTGTCGCAGATGATCTTGGCCGCCGTCTCCCGGATCGCAAAGTTGTAGTGCCCCAACAGGCTCTCCAGGGTGTTGAGCTTCAACGAATCCTCCGTTTCCTGTGTGATGTATCGTGGCTTTGGCGGGGTTGTCTTGATCTCGTTCTGCTCGCGGATATGCTCCAGCATCTTGCGAATTCCCACCAGAAGAACCACCGAGCCAATACTGAGGCTGGCGGCGATCACCCGCCCGTCACGGGCGAAGCTGAACAAGCCCATGATGGCGATGTTGATCAGCCTGGAGGGGAGCTCGGCGGTTGTCGATATCAATCTGAATACGCTGGTGGTTCGGACGCTTGTCGCGAGCGTGGGAATTTCAGTTTAGCGCAGATGTTATCCATGATCAACCGCAGCGTCAAGTCTGCATCCCGTCGCCGATGGATGGAGATGGGGCTACCCTGGTTTCGATGATGTTATTTCAAGGCGCTCTTTCAGCCGCGTCGGATGGTCCCTGCAATCGGTCCCCAGATAGGTGTGGGGCGGCGCGTGTAGGCGGGGCCAGTGATAAGATAAGACGCCGAAGCGGCGGGCAAAAAAAAAAAAACGAGGGCGCGGGTTGGAGGTCGTGCGCCGTTGGATCCAAGCTATGAACGACGACCTCACAGAGCTGAGTGACACTGCGCGTCAACCATTCTCCTTTGCGACCTGGCCCCAGCTACGAGCCTACCTTTCGACATGGCGGGCTCACAGCTCAAGAGGCTAAAGACCTCTCTGCGGGAACAGGGAATCGTGGGGCCCCAGAAATCGAAGAAACAGAAGAAACAGACAGCTCAAGACGCAAAAGCCAACGCTGACAAGCGGTTGAAGAGATCGGTTGCTTTGGAGGGAATCCGAGAGCAGTTCAACCCTTTCCAATTTCACACGAATGCGCGGGGCCCCAAGTTTGAGGTGACGAGCAACAAGGCTCTGGCCGCGAATGCCTCCAAGGCCATCAGGGGACGCCCGGGCGTCACCAAGGCGCTCGGCGAGGAAAGGGTTTGTGTCCTGTTGGGAATTCGACCAGCTTGCGAGGCCATTGCTAACAGGTGTGTGCTGTAGCGCCGCGAGACCCTTTTGGTAGAGATGCAGCGTCGGAACAAGGTCGGCGGCATCCTGGATCGGCGAATCGGAGAGAACGACCCGTCTATGGCGCCCGAGGAGAAGGCCCTGCGGAGGTTTGCGATGGAGAAACAACGCAGCCACAAGAAGGGTTCTCTCTTTGACCTGGAGGATAACGAGGATGATGTCGGCCTGACCCACATGGGCAAATCCCTGTCCTTTGACGATGCCGAGGACGACTTTGACAACGCCGACCTTCCATCAGAGAACGAGTCCGACATAGCCAACATAAACCCAACACGTCTCAAGAGAATGCGCGGCGAAGATGTTTCTGATGGAGACGACGACGAGGCCGAGCAGCTACCAGAGCGGAAAAAAACCAAACAGGAAATCTACAAGGAGATCATCGAGAAGTCCAAAGCACACAAGTACGAGCGCCAGGCCGCGAAGGATGCCGACGAGGACCTGAGGGAGAAAATAGACAAGGAATTCTCGGAGCTCCAGAGGGTGCTATTCACAAACAAAGCGAAACCTTCGCGGCCAGACCCGGAGGACTCGCAGCCAGCTCCAAAACTTGTCGCAGGACTTGACAAGGAGGAGTTCGACAAGGCCTACGATGTCCGTGTCAAGAAGCTACTGCAAGACAAGAGGGCACAGCCCACGGAAAGGACGAAGACGGATGAGGAGAAGGCTGCTGAGGAGTCAGCCCGTCTCAAGGAGCTCGAGGAGAAGCGGCTCAAGAGGATGCGAGGAGAGGAGGTCAGCGACAGTGACGGAGATGAAGAGACTGGGGAAGACGTAGAATCACACCCTGATGCTACGATGCAGGGTCCCGACGACGACATGGAGGAGGACGAGTTTCAGCTTGGCAAGGGCATCAAGAAGATGCGCCCCACTGCCACGGAGCTAGGGTTTGACGACGAGGACGATTTTATCATCGACGATGACCTCGTTGCCAGCGGATCCGACATCGAGCCAGAGGATGAGGAGGATTCCTCTTCCGACGACAGCGGAGACGACGAGGATGGATTCGACGGCTTCGAGTCCGATGATGAGTTCACAAAAGGCCTCCTGACGGAGACTGAAAGTCGGCAACCCGAATTCACAGAAGCAACCAAGCTTCCCGGCGCGGAATCCAAGGGCGATGATGATGGTATCCCATATACGTTCCCGTGCCCGCAGTACCATGGAGAGCTGTTGAAGATCACCGGGGGGCTACCGGTGGCTAAACTTGCCACTGTTATCCAACGAATACGCGCGCTGTACCACCCCAAACTGGACAGCGGCAACAAGGAGCGACTAGGGAACTTCTCTAGAGTCTTAGTTCAGCACATCGCCTATCTAGGCAACCTGGCGGACGGTGCGCCATCTACCGCCATTGAGAGTCTCATCCGACACGTCCACTCGCTGGCCAAGACATTCCCGCTCGAGATCTCGCGCGAGTTCCGTCTCCATCTTCAGACCATGGCAGCTGAAAGGCCGCTTGCGCTGGTCAATGGCGACCTGTTTATCCTGACCGCTATTAGCTCGATATACCCAACGTCGGATCATTTCCATCGGGTGGTGACTCCGGCAATGCTTTCTACCGCGAGGTTCCTTGGTCAGAGTGTGCCTAAGAAGCTCTCTGACTATGCCACCGGGACCTACCTCGCGATACTAGCTCTTCAGTACCAGGCGCTATCAAAGCGCTATGTGCCAGAGCTGATGAACTTCACCCTCAACACACTATGCGCCCTGGCTCCGACCGAATGCACAGGGCGTGTGGGCGCTTTCCCACTACACCGCCCTTCCCCGGATACGCGGATCAAGGACAGCCAAGGGGAGGCCGTACGCAAGCTAAGCTGCGCTGATTGTCGTCCTTGCACCGGCGGCGATGATGATTCATCTACTTCCCTGCAGGTTGCCGTCCTCGACACGACCGTCAAGGTGCTCTCTGCCGCGGCTGAGTGCTGGGCTGGGAAGCCCGGGTTTTTCGAGACGTTTGAGCCCACTTGCAGGGTTTTGGCTCACTTGTGCTCCAAACCCTGCAGAAATGCACTGCCTCCTGCCGTAGTCAAGGAGACAGAGAGGTTCTTGGCGCGGCTGAAGGTGTCGCTGCAGGCCGCACGGCTGTCCCGCCGACCTCTAGAGTTGCATCACCACCGCCCCTTGGCGATTCGAACTTACGTGCCCAAGTTCGAGGACACGTTCGACCCGAACAAGCACTACGACCCGGACAGAGAACGGGCCGAGATGGCCAAGCTCCGGGCCGAGCACAAGCGGGAGCGCAAGGGAGCGATGAGAGAACTGAGGAAGGACGCGAACTTTATGGCGCGGGAGAAGCTCAAGATCAAAAAGGCCAAGGACGAGGCGTACGAGAAGAAGTTCAAGAGGCTGGTGTCGGAAATCCAGAGCCAGGAGGGTCGCGAGGCGAACGCATACGAGCGGGAGAAGCAGCAAAGGAAGCGGGCGAGGAAGTAGCGGGCGAGGAAGTAGCGGGCGAGGAAGTAGCGGGCGATGGAGGAGTGCCTTTGTCAGGCCATCACTATCACAATCTAGATATCCCATGTTTGTTTGGTTGTGCAATGGGACCATGTGCGATGAATTTGTGGTTCACTGCTGGCGCCTGCATCGATATCAAAGCATGAAGTGTTGCCTGCCCATAGATGCCTCACCCTCGCCAACATTTCAACTTGTTTCCCATCATGTGCCTGGTTCCGTACATCTACTTTGATACCACTACCATTCCAATTAGGAAATTGCCTAACTGGTTTTTAATGCGAGGGAGTCAAGCCTGCGGAAACGAACACGGCCAGCTTGCCTTGGTTTGGGATCCGGTCCGGTGTATGAGTTGAATAGGCAATCCGCAAGACTCGCTATCCCGGCCTGCCAACCGACCTAGCATGTCACGCATGTACGAGAGCGAGACAGGTTCGCAGTTGCTGGATCGTCGTTCAGCCTCCATTTCGTCTGATAATTCGGACGAAGCGAGGCTCCCCGACTTGCAACAGCCGCTTGAGATGGAAGGCGTAGTCAGAGTTGAGAGGTTGACTAGGCTGACTAGGTCGAAAGTGGCAACGGCGGAGGGCAGGCAGCAGATGGAACAAAGGCGTCTGGTGTCATCTGATCTGGCACGGTGCGGAGGAGCGGGCTAATTCCCAAATCCGGCTCTCTCCACCCTCGGTTTAAGGTGCGCGGCGCGCGGGGCAATAGCATGGCCGGTCCACACTCGCTTGGCCTCCTTTCGTCTCGCCTCGGGGGCAATCTAGGTAGCAATCTAGGTAGCAATCCATCCGTCAGGCCAAGTTCTTGTGTATGACCGGGATTGGCGAAGCGTTGGACTAAATCCCAACGGCCGGACTGGACAGTCTCGCCAGTCGTGTATTTCTAGGGCCTGCTGCCTCTGGTAGGCAGGATAAGCCAAGCTGGCGATTGGTGTCGCCGTCATACGCCAAGCGCCATAAGCTTGACGAACCAAGGATTTGGCACCAGCGTCCCGTCTCCGCCCGTGGCGCGAGATATATACGTACGTGTAGAGGGAGCTAGAGGAGGACTCTCGAAGCCCCAAACCCGCTCTCAACTCGTGCTTATCTACCAACCAAGGTGTCTGCCGTCAGAGCAGTACGTGCAGAGACAAGGATCCTGCTTCCTCGTTTTCATCTTCCTCGACCAGACCGACTTCTGCTCTCCCCTATCCTTCGCCTCCCATGCTGGCCCCCACCATCAAACGGACCTGGCGGCCATGGCGGCCTGCCTCGCTGGTCTTCGTCGGACTGGTGACGTACGCCATCTCGTGGCGTCAAGGCCAGAGGTCTACGTCAACCCTCCTCACCACCTTCTCGGGCGCATGGCTGGCCCTGTTCGCCGTCTGGGCCATCTGGATGAACCAGCTCTACCCCAAACTCTTCTCGCCGCTCAGGCACCTCCCGGGGCCAAAGGACAACAGTTTTTGGAACGGCCAGCAGGCCCGGATTGCCAAGGAGCCGACTGGCGCGCCCATGACGGATTGGCTCAATTCCATCCCCAACGATGGCTTCATCCGCTACCTGTCGATTCTCAACATCGAGCGCCTGGCGCCGACGAGCGCCAAGGCGCTGCAAGAGATCCTCGTGACGAAGAATTACGACTTTGAGAAGCCCGAGGACTTCAGGCACACCATCGGCCGCATCCTAGGCGTCGGCATCCTGCTGGCCGAGGGCGACGAGCACAAGGCGCAGAGGCGGGCGCTGAACCCGGCATTTGGCTTCCGCCACATCAAGGACCTGGTGCCCGTCTTCTGGAGCAAGTCGGTCGAGTCGGTGCTCGCCATGACGGCCCAGATCGACGCCGACGCCGATGCCGACGCCGACGCGCCCGGCCCGCGGACGGCCAGGCTGGAGGCGAGCGGCTGGGCGTCGCGCGCAACGCTGGACATCATCGGCGTGGCGGGCCTCGGGCGCGACTTTGGCGCCATCGCGAACCCGGACACGGAGCTCACCAGGACGTACAACAACCTGTTCAAGCCCTCGCGCCAGGCCCAGATCCTCGGCATGCTCGGCCTCATCATCGGCGGCTGGGCCGTGTCAATGCTGCCGATATCGCGCAACAACGACATCCAGGCGTCGTCCAAGCTCATCCGGGCCACGTGCCGCGACCTGATCCGCGAGAAGCAGGCCAAGCTGAACGAGCGCAAGAAGGACGAGACCGGCGACGGCGACGCGGCGGGCCCCAGGGACGTGGACATCCTCTCGGTCGCGCTCGAGAGCGGGGGCTTCAGCGAGGAGAACCTGGTGGACCAGCTGATGACGTTCCTGGCGGCCGGGCACGAGACGACGGCGTCGGCCATGACGTGGGCCGTCTACCTCCTTTCGGTCAACCCGGGGGTGCAGAGCCGGCTGCGGGCCGAGGTGAGGGCGCGGCTGCCGGCGCCGGGGTCCGACGGCGCGGCGGCGGCGTCGCCGTCGCCGGTGACGTCGGTCGACATCGACCGCATGCCCTACCTCAACGCCGTCTGCCTCGAGATCCTACGATACTTCGCCCCCGCGCCCAACACGCTGCGCGTGTCCAACAAGGACACGACGGTGCAGGGCCAGTTCGTGCCCAAGGGGACCCGCGTCATGCTCGTCATCAGCGCGCTCAACAAGTCGACGGCGCTGTGGGGGCCCGACGCCGGCAGCTTCAACCCGGACCGCTGGCTGGACCCGGTCCCTGGGGGCGGCGGCGAGGCGTACGTAGTCAACAACAACGGCGGGGCGGCGAGCAACTTCGCGCTCATGACGTTCCTGCACGGGCCCAGGAGCTGCATCGGCAGCGCCTTCGCCCGGGCCGAGTTCGCGTGCCTGCTGGCCGCCTGGGTCGGCCGGTTCGAGTTCTCGCTCCAGCACGCCGAGGAGATGGACGAGAAGAATGTGGACATCAAGGGCGGCATCACGCAGCGCCCCGCCAACGGCATGCGCGTGTGGGCGAGGGTCATGGAGGGCTGGTAGGGAGGGTCTGGCATCGCCTGCTGCGTTGTATCCCTCGTGGTGTCATTCACTTTGGGCTACACTCCTTGCTCTCAGTTTTGGTTTTGCTGTCTACCTAGTCCAGTAGAGGGTAGATGACACACTCCTTGCTCTGGATATCTACCATCAAATGTTCAAGAACGGTCTTAGCTTTGGGGTTCACAACACCAAGAACTTTTTGATATATCGAATATATATGAAACCACCCTTTCGGAACTGGCCCTTTCATCCATCTACCAGCAAGTCAATGAGATCCCACGATGACCATGCCTTGCTCCCCGCCCTTGTGTGTAAAATATGGAGCCTGGATGTTATTCCGCGAATTATTGATTTCTCACCAGCAGCGGGAGCCCGTGCTGAAACAAGGCGAGTCTGCGGATCCGGGCACATAAACACGGGACACTAATGCGATGGGTAACCCGCACCACACATCCCACCCTGCTGCTGCTGCTGCTGCTGCCCCCTGCCGTGTGGATGGACCATGCTGAGCACAGGCCTGAAGGGCGGCAAGGGAGCGCTCGATTGCGTGCTCCGCGTTGCTTGCGCACGCACTCTGGGGGGAGGGGGTGGAGTAGAGCACGGGCTGTGGAGGGAGGGAGGGAGGAAGGGAAGGAAGATCGAGGCGAGGATCGATCACCGACGACCGGCCGGAACCGGGCGCACGGAGGAAAAAAAAAGGAATCCAGGCACTGCCGCCCCAATGCACACACACACACACACACACGCACACGCAATTCGCAGCCCGCCCGTCCATCCCTTGCCTCCTGCAATCCATTATTGTGTGCAGGAGACGCTTATGCGCCTCACCGTCGCAAAGGAGCCCCGAGACTTGTCGCAGCTGCGACAAACCTGGGGCGCGTTGCTCTGCCTCGGACCTTGCATTGCCGCGGCGGTTCTTGAGGGTTAGTGCGCTTTGGTCATTTGCTCTAAACACGGGCATAGATGGATGGATGGGGGGAAGGGAGAATACGTGACGGACGGTTCGAGATGAGAGAGAGATGTTTGCATAGCGGGTATCTAAGGTAGGTAGGTAGGTAAGTTTTTCTACGGAACAGGCCAAGCCAAAACATGATGAGTCGAAGCTCATGGTACAAGATACAGAGATGTGGTATCCTTGACGCCGGTCTAGCCACAGTCGGGCGATACCGATACAAATGAGAATGACGTGACGAATACAAATATTGTTAGAGTATAAAACGACATTTGGTTCATAAAATGCCTCTCGTTTCCGGCGAGCGCCGAGAACCGAGTAGAGAGAAGAGAAGGTAACAAGGTCAGAGAAAATGACAGCCAGGTAGGCAGAGCGCAATTTCAAAGACGGGAACGGGGCTCCCCCGGAGATCACCTCCAGGTGGAATGGAGCCGGGCGCGGCGGGCGCTGCTCCGGGTGGGCCTTAGGCCGACGTCGCCGTGCAGCATCAGGCTCTTCCAGCGGCGGCCCAGGCAGGCGCGGTCCCTGCCGAGGCTGCGCGCGCAGTCCTCCCAGTCCTCGCGCGACAGTCGCAGCTTCTCGAGCACGAGCTCGACTAGGACCCGGTCGTCCTCGGCGCTCCACGCCTCGCCGTCGGCCTCCACCTCGACGTCGGTGCCGGGGCCGCCGCCGCCGCCTGGTTGCCGGGCCGGCTCGTGCAGCGCGTGAAAGTCGGACCGCTCCAGGCCCATTGGCACCACCGCCGGCGCTATCCGTGCGCGCTTTGGCGTGTGTAGCGTCTGCGCTGGGGCCTCGGGGTTTACGTCCGTGTTTGTTGTTGTTTTTGTTGACGCTGGTGATGTTGGCGGGGCGACGCCGGGCGCAGTCCGTGTAGAAGCCGATGCACCGCGGACGTCCACGTCGCTGTCCGAGTCCGAGTCGGCGGCGGCCCGGCGCCTCTTGTTGGCGCCGCGCGGCGGGGCGCGCTTGGCGATCTTCTTGCGGGTCGTGACGGGGAGGTGGTCGACCGGGGCGGCGGCGGGCTCCGTCGTCTTGCGCGAGCGCAGGCGCAGCTTGAGCGGGCACGGCGCGTGGGCGAGCGGGGGTGTGGGGAGCTGGCTAGGGTTGCGGGAGCCGCCGCCTTCGCCGCGCGGGCACGAGGCCTCGCGCGAGCCGGCGGGCGGCGTGAATATCATGAGCCCGTTGGGGTTGTTGTTGTGGCTGTTGTAGTTGTTGTTGTTATTGTTGTGCGCAAAGGCAGGCGGTGCGCCGAGGAGGGACTGCAGGCTGCGGCAGGTGGCGACGATGTTTCCGAAGCCGAGCGCGCCGCCGCTGCTCTGTGCCGGCGGGCTGGCAGGGGGCGACGCGAAGAGCGCGGCCTGGAGTCGGGCGGACGAGGCGGCGGCGCCGTGCGCCGGGTCGCAGGAGAGCGCCGAGGGGAGAAGCATGGCTGGAAACTGTATGCGCGATGCGCGCGCTCTTGTGCGGGTTCTTTTGAGTGTGGGCGACGGGCGTCTTCGGTATGCGCGCAGGTCGGACGGTCGATGGAGGCGTCGGGTGTGCGATGCGACGGGAGAGATGTGGGATGGAGACGCGTGCGCAATCGCAATGAGGATGTTTTAGGTTGTAGATATTCCCTATTCCCTATTCCCTGGATATTTTATTCCCTGGATATGGTTGATAGACAGGCGAGAGGGACGTCTTGGTCGTATGTGTTGTATGTGTTGGAGAGATGGATGATGCAGCAAGGTGGGCGGGCGGGTGAGGAATGGAGGGTAGAATAATGCGCCTAATAAGAGAGGTGAGTTGGGGAGGACCCGGAAGCGTCGTGGCGGGCGTCTGCAAAGCGGGTGTCTGCAAGCGGGCGAGGGTTCAGTTTGCTGCGAAATTGCTGCAAGGGCAGGCACCCCTGCCAGCAGAAAAAGTGGACACATGATGCACACGCCCCATCCGAAGTTGCGCAGAGCTCTGACCGCCCATCTGGACGGGGCCCCTTGGCTGTCGCTCCCTCTGGCCGTCAAGTGCCGGCGGGAAAAGAAAGCATGCTGCCAGGTTCTTTGTTGGCCTGGTCTGGGGAAGGCAGATATGCCAGCACTGGGCCGGACACGCTGGGGAACAGACGTGGCCAGGAACCCCGCGCATCGAGCTGGCACCGTTGCTCGTAAAGTCCCTGAGATGCGCCCTGACAGGCGGTGACTGCCGCTTGACCCGACCGACGGCCGCAGCCCGCTCGACCTTTGGCGCCTCGAGTGCCAGCCTGGCCCTGCCCCCATCAATGGGACCAAGTCGTGTTCCCCCGATATTGGGCAGCATCCCACAGGGCAGTACAACCCAGGTATTCCACAGGGCCAGCGAAACCGGCCGCCGAGTGGCCCCAATTCGACGGATGGCACCAGACGGATTTGCAGGGAGGAACACGAGCACGAACAGGACCCATCGCGACTGACTCGCTCACCTTGGGGTGTCTTGCATTATCGAAAATACCCGCCAGACGCACTGCCTGCTGCACTACTACGTAACTGGAGGTACAATACAGTGCCTAACAAGTAGGTACACGTCGAGTCTTTGCCCTCAGGCGCCCGGTCCTTGCCGCGAGGGAGCAAAGATGGTGTGGTGCGTGCTTCGTTTTGTCTCGCCCGGGTCTGAGGTCAGCGACTGCTAGCCTGGTCGCGGCTTGTCTGCCTACGCATTGCATCAACGTCTCGCCCGTGGTGGTGGTGTGGTAGTCTCGGTTGAAAGCCGGACAGGGCTGCCTGACCTTTTGCTTGAGCGTCCTTGACAGCCCGGCACATGATGCAGTCCATTCCGTCAGATGCCCACCAGACCTCTTCGTCCATGACGCACCGCCGGGCGCACCTGCTTCCCTCCTTCATCCTCCCTCTAGACACGATACCACCACCCCTAGCACTCTGGTCGGAAGTCAGTCCGGATCTGATTTCATGTCCTAGGTTCCATATATCCCGCATCCCTCGCCGTTGGCGGATAGAAAGCAAAGCAAACGAGGGCGGGGTGGGGCGACGAGGGCGACAATGGTCAAGGGAGGGGCATCGTGCATGCGTTATTGATTCCTCGACGTCGTGCGCTTCCATTGCCGCCCATCTGACTGACGGCAAAGATAACGCTCCGCCGCCCGCTTTCACTGCACATAATTATGGATGCTTTTCAACCCACAAGCCCCTCCCAACCCCAGGCTACCGCTGATCACCCGCATTCCTCCGGTTGCGTCTCCCTCCCTCCCCTCTCCTATCCCTCACACCGCCAGCTCTGTGCGATAAGCCCAGGTAGATGTATCTGCAAGATAGCATGTCTTGTGTGTAAGCCATTCACTAGTGCTCACAGACACGGCGGCTTTCTTTGAGCCCTAACATATGATCTACCCACATCTGCCCAGTATGACAGGCCCAGAGTGTCCCTTGGGGGAGATGTGGCAGTGGAAGGGAGGAGGGGGAGGATCACGAGAGTAGTCAGGTCAAAAGACCCGGGCGCACCAGTCCGCCCATCGTTGACACCACAGAGGGGGACAGACTGATGATTGACTCCGAATGGTCCTGGACTGACGTTGCCCTGCCGCCCCACCGGACGCGTCGCGTGAAAAAGACGCGCATAAATCGACGCGTCGCGAAGATTTCGCGTTTAATTAGACCAAAGGAATTGTCCAATCACACAACACTATTTCCGAGCGACCTTTTACCGACCCAGAGCTGGGCCCACTCCTTTGCCCCATCAACTCCCTAAGTGCTTGCGTCGACATGCGGAGCCTGCCTAGGCTCGATGTGGGCCGGACCGATCGATTCTCTGGCACCTCGGCAGCTGGCGCAACAGGCACTCTGCATTCACGCCCGTTTTTTCGCTGGTTTTCTGCTCCTGCCTTGGCCGACCGTGGTTTAGGCGGGGTCACACCCAGGCTGGCTGGCTGGCCAACCTGTGCTGACCCTTGCACCGTACCTTACAGCAAGCAGTCCAGGCGGTAAGTCCTCGGCGATGTTACCTGGAAACCCCGGAATAGGATAAGGGTCCCGGACCCCGAATATGCTTGCATCAAAATAAAAAGAGGGATACGGGCAGGAGTGAGTGTGTGCATCGACATGTAGGAAATGCCCTGATCTGGATAGCCGCGTGAGGATAGGTGGATGGTGGATGGGGAGGTAGGATGGATTCTATTCGTATCCATGTGCCTGGGGAACACATGTGCAAAGTATCCCGGGTCCACGCTCCCTCTCCCGCCCTCCACTGATCTTCGGTGGCCCCAGCGCCGACGCGCTATTAATGGTCTCGTCTGGGGGCGGGGTGAAGAACATGCATTTTCGGCCCAGGCATTCGCCTTGTCGCCAGCAATTGGGCATTCTGAGTCAGTAAAACATTCTCTAGCTTTTGTTTTCGTTATAACCCAGCCCTTTTAATATTCCCCGAAGCCGCGCACGGCTTGTTGCCGCTTCAAGGCTTGAGAATGCGAATTCGGCTAGTTGCGGTGTGAAGCCCGAATTGCATTTTGATGCTCCAAAGCCAACCACAATCCAATGGCTCATTTTGGGAAAAGATTGCATCTCAGGCAGCCAAGACCAACCTATCGACGAGGAAGACTGAGCGCATGTGCTCGCATAGCACCATGAGCATTCCCGGCCTCTGGCACAGACACCGAGGATGCGCATGGCCCACGTGGCTACCGCTGCATGCTCCTAGAGTCGAAAATTCGGGTGGTTGAGTCTTCCCTGCATCCCATATCAAAGGCGCCAGGGGTTTGCCGCCGCTTGAGCCAGGGGCCCATCAGCGCAGCAGTTGAGAGCCAGCCAACCATGTGTTCGACGCCTATCTTCAGTGCAACCGAATCGGAAGCCACCAGCCTCAAGAAGAGGAGCCAGCAGACTGAGTACCATCTCTCAGACACACCCGCTCTCTTATTTATGGCACGCGCTTAACTGGGCCGATACCGATCGGCGCCCCAGCGCTTGTTTCTGTGGATGCTGGAGCATTAGGCTGGAAACTGCTGCCTCTTTGCCGCGCTCATGCCAGTCGCATTCAGCCTTGGGAGGTTCGGCTCGTCGTCTAGCCTGGCCTTGGAGACATGGTTCCATCTCCAACGGTCCATGCTCGCTTGAGCCGAGCGGGTGCCTCCCACCCAACCGTCGGGCAGGTCTGGGCTGCAGCATTCGCGAAGCGCTCCCGCTGCGCTACCAGCAACGCCAGCCCTTCCATGCTAACCGCCATGGATACGCCCAGGCTCTGTTTGTGCCCACCCAGGAACAAAGACCCCAGAAGGTTCAGACCAGACAAGGGCCATCGTCGTGCGTCCAACCGCCTCGGGCCCATCTGATGCAATTCTGCTAGGGCGCGCTCGGGGCTGCACCACGATCCGTTGAAACGGCCTGCAAACAACGAAGCGCAGCCTCCGCCAACGGCTAGTGTCGTTGTTTTGAAACGCGCTTGGGCTGTCCGGCTCTTTGCCTGCTGAGATCGCCTGCTCAGGCTTGCCTGCTGTTCCTCCTGACCCGGGTGCGATGGAGAGGCTGCGCGGCGCATGGGGCCTATCAGCGCCCTGGACGCTTATTGGAGATGATCGTCCGTTGAGGCTCGAGAGTTTGGTTCGTGTCGGCGAGTTGTTGGCAGCGACTGCCTCATCCTCGCTCCCACCGGCCCATCCGCGCGCCCCTGGCGCCGAATGGCGGCGGCCGTTCTTATTATTATGTCCCACGCCATCCCTTCCCATGTGCGTCCCAATGAGCCCTCTCCTCCTTCCTGTCTGACCTGCCGTCATCGCCGCTGTTCCTTCTCGTGACAACGGGTCTAGCGCCTATCTTGTGCTTGAGGGTCTCGTTGCGTGCGAGGTTCACGCCACGGCAAAGACGATGATTTTTCCTTTCGTCTCGCTGCAGTGTTAAAGCTCTCCTCGGCCCTGCTAACAGACTGGCGAACTGGATCTGCTTCCGCCACGACCTTTTCCCCGACGCCCCCGGGCTTCGGGCTGATTCCAGCACTCAGCACCATCTCGTCCTTGTCTGCCTCGCCCGGCCACCCGACCCGCCGCCCGGCCCCATTTCTCGGCTAACCGGCCGATCTCGATCACGGCTTGCTCAGTGGCCGTTGCGAGGTGTAGGCTGGAACTTGATCGCTAAGGTCATGCCTGTACTTCCGAGGCAGGCTCAAGATGCGAGTGGCGCGGAAAGCGAATGGACTACCAACCGAATTGTTGCCGTGGCGGCGTCATCAGGTATCACAGCCCCCAAGCCAACCCATTGAATTCTCCGCACTCGAAGCTAACAGTCGCCGCCACTTGTAGGAGCTGGACTGCTCTTTTTGATACTTGTCATCCTCGCATTATATCGATACCGCTCAAGGGTATCTTGGTTCCGTCGACTCGATACAACGATTTCACGCGAGGCAATAGTACCCGCCGCCGCCCGAGGCAGTGAAGACCAGTATCCCCCCAAGGCGAGTTGCAATGTGAGAAGATCCCTCAGTCACGACTGGGACCCGGCAGGCCTATTCGCAGCCCCTGCGACTCGCAAATCCGGGCAAGACAAATCGCCAAGCACCTCGCCGCGGAGCTCTCCTGCTACAAAACCCCCCACCATGCTTGCACTTACACACCACAGCCCTTCGACCCTGGGTCCATCCGGTGCTGTTTCGGCGATTGGACCCCGAGATAGGGGTGTCTCGACCAAAGTCATACACTCGACCAAGCTCGCCTCGGCTATGGACCGCAGCGTGTCTTTGAGGCGTCCAAGGGACGTGGAGCGGAACCACCTGCTCACGAGCCATCCGGAAGAAGCCCCGCAAAGGTCCTCTTCCATGAGGTCGATTTCGTCTGTTTCCTCGGAGAGATCGCTCCAAAGCACGGAGTACCGCCTGCCGCCGTGCCCCATGAGCAGCAGCTACAAAGCGATCGATCTTAGTGAAGGCATCGACTTTGGCCCTGTGACCAGTCTCAGTCCACCTCCGCCTGTTCGCTCCCCTAGCGTTCGCGACACGGCTCAGGCGGCAGCCAAGGCTACGGACAAGGCCCCGACTGACACATCCGAATGGGCGATGACCGAGTTGCGTGCCGAGTCACCATCGCCGGAGAAGTCTAGACAGCACGTGGATGATAGCCTCTTGGCTGCCGCGGCGCTTGCCTGGCGGGAGGCGTCGGGAACACGAAGCTCGCCCGAACACCGCCGTCGGTACTCGCAGCTAGGCGAGAGGAAGCGTATCGAGTCGACTCTCGGCATCCCCACCGCCATGCTCGCCGCGACGTGGGGGAGGAATTCTGTTAGACTCTCCGGCCTGGTGGGGATGGCGGCTTTCAACGGCGGGTTCGGGGCCACTTTTCCGTCCTCGAACCCAGTCCCCGTCCCGGAGGCCCTCCCGGAGGCCTCGCCGGGAGGGTCAAAGCTGGCTCTCACAAGCGGTCCCGCCCACTCACCAACCAAGTCGAGCGAGAGGAGCCTGACGAGCAGTGCGTTCGGCGCCCTCGGCAACTGGCAGCAGCCAGCCCGGCACGTCAGCGAGGGCGACTACTACTTCAAGGCCAGGCACGGCAATCGCCGCCGCGTAGCCGACAGCAGCATCGAGCCGGACGACGGCCACGAGCTCCTCCCGACCTACGCCAGCCTCGCGCCTCCCGACGGCCGCAGAGCCACGGAACCTCCGCCCGACCGACCCGAGGCGGCGAGGGCGTCGCGAGCGCAGAAGAGGCCGAGCGCGAAGCACCGGTATCAGTACCCAAACTTCTACAATTCCAGGGTCGCAAGGAGGCTTCGGGGCGAGGAGCTTGCCGACCGACGGCAAAGGCACTCGCGGCAGCTACGAGAGGACCCGTCGAACGCGCAGCAGTCGAAGCCCGAGGAAAGCCGGCCCGACGACTATGTCCTCCAGCTCTCTCACCACGACAAAGGCTTTAATTTTGGCTTTGATTTTTAATTTCTGGCACGCTCTCGCTTTCATGTTTTATTCATGCCCTCTTTCTTGCTTTTTCCTATTTCATGTATGCTACTTGCTTCTTTCCCTCTTTCACGTGCGGTCTTCTATATCTTTTGGTCATGGCGGCCTCGGTTGCGTAATTCAGCGCGCTCGTCATTCTTGTCTCATCACTGTCACCCTACATTAGCAACTATTTGATACCTCGGGATGAGCACGTGCCTAGTCCTAATCACTGTGTCTGGTGAAGTGTATAATCATGAAATGGCGTAAGACGTGATCATTCATTGTCACCTACGCCTGCATCTAACTGTGTCCCGTCACATCCATAGCCGGCCGATTCACACATAGAGAGTCTTTATTGTGATGTATTTAGCGCCGATTTCGGCGTATTTTCCAACGCTATTTTCTCTCACAATCATGGTGTTTCATGTGGCATGGATACCATGCAGACGCATGTGGCCCACGTTGGACCAGGCTCGCATGATTACCAGCCGGAGGGGGTTGGTTTGGTATCCAATCGAAAGCTCTGATGGGGCAGATTGTACGATGTCGGGATGCCCGGGTGATGTACTGTGGTATCGGCAGAGGCAAGATACCTCAGACAGCATGTGCCTGTTACATGGGGTGAGTGAGCTAGCGATAGATAGGGTTGAGATGCCTGAGCTAAGCAGCTATCAGCCCAGATTGTGCCTGTGCACACCAGGCACAGAAGGACAGACTGACTGGGTTAGCTGGGGTTGATGATTGGTGCGCTGACCTCTTCCCAGCCACATAACTCTATTAGCTGTTGGGCTGTTCCTTGGGGAAACGTGCGGGGTTGCTGGGCTAGCAGACGCGCATCACAACATGAAGGCAACTCTTTCGCTCACAGCTGGAGGTCACTTGCAGTCAGGCACAGCCATGAGGATAGCTGCGATATTTGAACATTCATTTCATTGGTGGCACGTCTGTTGACCAGAGGTTTGACATTATTGCGTGTAATGGATGGTTGATGGAATCAATTAACCCCTGGACATTGGGGCTGCCCCGCCAAGAGTGCATGCCAGGGTCGTACTGGCCCCCCAGCTTGGAGGAGCCCGTTAGTTCGGTGCCCAAGAGCCAGAGCGGGCAGCACATGCACCGTGCACCGTGCACCCAGCTCCCCCAGCCCGCCCGTCCTCGCCCACTGGGGTTCACTGGCAGGTTGCGACAACCATCAACAATCGATCCTGGGTCGCCTGCCAACAAATCCGTCATCAGCCCAGCCTCCACCACGCCCACCTCGACCGCCCGCCCTGCCTGGTCGAGTCGACGACGGCCAGGCTTTACCAATTACAACCGCGACGCAGCTCCCAGAGCCCGCCACTGCGAGAGCAGGGCGAGAAAATAACTCGTCCGTGCCTGCCCCCTCATTTCTGCTTTGTGTCCGTCGGCTCGTCCCCTCGAACAGCATCGGACGCCCGACAGCCCGCCGATCCCTCGAGACAAGCATCGACGTCAAGCTGCCGCATTTCCGGCGCCCACACCTCCCCCCCAAAACACACTCGCGTCTGCGCCTTTGTCGCATTCATCACTCTGGGCGGCGCCTGCAAGATCTGCCTCGAGGCCTCGCTCGCCTCCATGAGGTAGAGTCAACACCGCCATCATGGGCAACACCAACACCAAGGAGGCCCGCGATGTCGCCTCGCCCCGCTCTCCGCACGACCCGCGCTTCCCCCAGCAGCAGGACCCGGCGAGCCAGTCGTCGTCTAGGCACAGGTCGCGAGCTAGCCGCTCCGACCTCGGCAGCCTCCTGGGCATCAGCCAGGCCTCCTCGTCCTCGGCCCAGCCGCCCTATGAGCGCCGCGAAACTAAGCAGGAGCGGGAGGCCCGGAGGCTCGAAAAGGAGCGCCAGGCTCGCCTGATAGAGCGCGAGAGGAGTTTGAAAGAGGAGCATGTCGATGGCGGCTACCTCGTCACCCTCGGCACCTACGTCGGTCCAGAGGACTACAGCAAGCCCACCGTTCGGCAGCTACAGGTACGCCCAGCCATCGCCCGTCCACCCTCCCCCTCACGCTCGCGTGCTGACTGCCCCATCACCATCGTAGATCGAGCGGAAAGTTGCACCATTCTGGAGGGGCTTGAACGACTTCTCCGAGACGTGGAATGAGCACCAGATAATCGCTGTAGCCCGCGGTCTTCCCCTCCCCGCGGCCGACGCAACTCCCCCCGAAGAACTCATCCCTAGACCCATGTCGGCGGACCCAGCCTCGACCTCGTCGCAGAATCTGAACAGCCTCACGATCCCCATGGGCGACAGAACACAGTCGGCCGCTTCTGACAGGAGCGGGTCTGGCCTCGGCTCTATCATCCCGTCGTCATCCTCGGCCCGGAACAGCTCACCCTTCAAACATCGGCCAAAGGCCATCGCGGCAGCACTTAGCATATCGTCACGCAATGGCTCGGCGACCGAGATAGTCCCCCGCGAGATCAAGCTTGCGCAGGACCCCTTCGTCAATGGGCAGCCTCTTGAGGTGTTTTTGTACAAGGACGCTGCAGAGTGCCCCATCTGTTTCCTCTACTACCCGCCTTATCTCAACCACACGAGATGCTGCGACCAACCGATATGCAGCGAGTGTTTTGTGCAGATCAAGAGGGCCGAACCTCACCTCCCCGAAGGGCATGGAGAGACTGAGAACCCCGAGGCGAACCCGGAGGAGCAGGCAGGCCTCCTAATTTCCGAGCCGGCCTGCTGTCCGTACTGCCAGCAGCCCGAGTTTGGCGTCACATACGAGCCCCCTCCGTTCCGCAGGGGCCTGACATACTCCAACTCGGGGCCGAGCTTGGGGGTTGGGGTGTCGGGGACGGCCATGTCTTCTAGTAGTTCACTGAGCTCGAACCTGTCCCCAACTTCCATGACACACCCATCCACACAGAACAGGAGACGGACACAGTCGCTTTCGGTAAACGCCCCCAATGTCATCACCACCGACCGCGTCCGCCCCGACTGGTCGACGAAGCTTGCAACTCAACGTGCTCATATCGCTAGGCGCGCCGCGGCTGCCACTGCACTTCACACGGCCGCATTCCTAATGGGAAACTCGGAGAACAGGGGGTTCAGAGTCGGCAGGTTCAGCAGGCGGAACACGGGCAGTGCATCGGCAGCAGGGCCCTCGAGCGGTTCTGGCGATGCTGCTACCGATGCTGCCGGCGGTGGAGGTGGGGAGAGTGGATCTCGCTCGCCGGCAACCATGGAGCCGGGCCCTCGGGGCAGCTCGGGGCGGGCAATTCTCGGAGGCGGCAGGAGGAGCCGTATGGAGGACCTGGAGGAGATGATGTTTGCCGAGGCCATAAGATTGTCCCTCGCGGCCGAGGAGGAGCGAAAACGCAAGGCTGACAAGGAGGAGCGGAAGGAAGCCAAGCGCAGGGAGAAGGAGGAGAAGAAGGCGGCCAAGGCTGCAGCAAAGGCCGGTGCGTCGGGGCCATACGCAGGAAGCACTGGCGGGAGCGGGTACAGCTCTGTAAGCGGCAGCTCTTTGAGCCTGCCAAGCCTGGGTCTGGGCCGCCGTCGGGGCAATAGTGCTGCATCCAACCTGCGTGTTGAAGCCAGTGTTGCCAGCGCCATGGCGGCGACGGCCATCGGAAGCCCCAGCGCTTCAAGTGTTGCCCTCGCAGGCGACAAGGACAAAGGGAAGGGCGTCGAGCGTTCACCGCCCTCGAGCACCAAGGAGCCGAGCGCCGAAGGCGAGCAGAGTTCATCGAGTGGCGCCTCTGCTTCGACCGCTCAGCCTATCCCGTCGCCGCCACACCGGCCCGCCGGGCCATCACATCTTCGCCAGATGAGCAGCGCATCCTCCATCACGAATTCGTCGCTCAGTGACACGCCTGGTGGTAGCTACAGGGGCCAGTCACATGTTCACGACCCGCGCGCGAGTGGCTACAGCCTGGGCGGACACAGCAATGCCTGCGATGATGCGGGAGGGCAGGGGGACCGGGCAGCCGACAGGGACCCCAGCACCAGCACGGAACCCATGTTCAACTTCACCAGTCTCGCCGAGATGGTGGGCGTGCAGCTCGAGGGCGAGCATGCCGGACGCCGACTGTCCGCCATTGGCCGCGATGCTGTTTCTGGCGAGAGCAGCGCGACACAGGCAAGCGATTCGGCCAAGGAGGAGGCCGAGGTGCAGCAGATCGAAGATGCCGTCGATCAGAATGATGTCGACAGGGCTCCGAGCCCAGCGGCCATTAAGACGGCCCAGGCTCCCCCGCCGCCAGAACTGGTGGTGACGCCGGGCACTCCGGCGATAGTCGAAGATGGGATCGAAAATTCTAAGCAACTGGGGGCAACAGAAGTGGTTCACAATTCGGCCTGAGGCTTACCAACAGGGGGCGTCTCTTCATCGCCCTGACACACTTGCTCGCAAACACAGCAGGGCCAAAGCCAGGCACATGCAAAACGAACACATTTGACTAAGCAGGGAAAATGACTTTGAAGGGCTGGCGCGGGCGCTTTCGTGAGCGATATAATCCAGCAGCAAACCCTGGCACATTTGCCAACCCCGACATCCCTCCATGCCTGCCCATATACCAAGCGCGTCTTACACTCCTTCTTGCCCCGCATCCCCATTCCCCTTCCCATCTCTCAACCTCCTTTCCTTAATACCTCTCTCTTGTTGTTTTGCTTTTTGGGACATACCGTTGTTTGGAACGTGATCTCTATCATTTAGATCTGCCCTGACGGCTCCCAGGGCTTGCGGGGCTGTTGCAGGGCGTCGGAATCGGCATTACGCAGTAGTGATTTTGGTTGGTTGGCGCCGGGGCATGGTCTGATTTTGTCCGTCCTCCTGCCGAAGATGGCTTCGTTCCTCGTATCGACATAGCACAGAGTCGACTTAACTGTTCTCTGTATGGCACAGTGGCTGGTGACGTCGTCGTTCTGCCGCAACCTCGTCTTGCAGAACGTAACCGCTGTGACTTTCCTCGTCCTTTTCTCTAGGTACCTTGATACGCGCGCGAGTGGTTTATCAAACCAGCATGAGCATGGACCGACCACGTGATGGTGAAAATGCCACTCGCTAATTTTAAACAAGTTGCTATATGCTTCACGAACCTAGGCAGCCAAGAGGATATTAACTAGGTAGGTAGGTAGGTTCTAGCGAGGAAACGCGCGCAACGAACGACAGACGCAGAAAACACGCCCGGGATGGTCCGTGAGCGGGAGAGAGCCGGAGTTTGTCCTTCACGTGCCGTTGCCGTTGGGGTGCGTGACAAACCACCCTTGTGGCGGACTTTCCCAACTGTAGTCTCTCCAGTCCCCAAGTATTGGCCATAGCACCCGCCTGACAAACTCGCCCACGGCAGACGGCCCCGCGGCGGCCTCGGTGTGGCCGCCGGAAGCGTCTATTGCGGCACGGCAGCTTCTGCCATTCGCAAGACCCCCCTCCTCGCCCACGGCGGGCTGGTGGAGCCTCAGCCCGAGGTCCTCGACGACGCCGCGCCACTCCTCCACCGTCTCCTCGAGCTCCTCGACAGTGGTGACGCCAATGACGGTGGCGCCGACCTTGCCGCCGCCGCCGACGGCGAGCCCGGCGACGGCGGCGGCGCGGCCCCACGTCTCGAGGGCGAAGCGTATGGCGATGCGGGCGAGGGTGCTGCTGCTGCTGCTGCTACTGCCGCCGCCCTGGGCGGCGACGGCGGCGCGCATGTCGACGCAGGCGGCGCGCAAGCCCTCGGGGGCCGGGTGCCAGGCGCCCTGGGGCCCTACCGAGATGGAGGGGGCGAGCAGGCCCATGGCGACGATGCTGGCGTTGAGGACGACGTCGACGCCGGCGGCGCGGAAGCGGGCCAGGGTGGCCGGGTCGGTCAGGGCCGTGTTCTGGACGGTGCAGTGGCAGTAGCTGAGGATGGCGTCGAGGGCGCGGGAGCCGGGCGCGGGCTCGGGAGCGCCCGCGCCGCCGCCGCTGCGCCCCAGCGCGGCGATCTTCTCGGCCAGGTCCAATAGGCGTGGGATCGGGTAGCCGCTGATGCCGACATGGCGGATTTTGCCGCGGCGCTGCAGGTCCCAGAGTGCCGGCATGGCGCCAAGGACGTCGGCGTCGGTCACGAACTCGACGTCGTGCAGGTACACGAGGTCGAGGTAGGGGGTGCGCAGGCGCTCGAGCGAGCGGTAGACCGAGGCGGTGATGGCGGCGGGGCTGTAGTCGAACGAGGCCGGGCCGACGCGGCCGGCCTTGCTGATGAGGAGGTACGAGGCGCGTGGGTGCCGTGGCGGCGGCGGCTGCTGCTGCTGCTGGGGCTGGCCGTGGTGGCCGTTCTGGTCCTGGACGTCGTTGGCTCCGTTGCTGCTGCCCCTGCTCCCGTCGCCGCCTTGGACGGCGGCGCTGATGGCCTCGCCCAGGAGTATCTCGGCGGGGCCGTAGTAGGGAGACGTGTCGAAGGCGCGGATGCCCAGCTCAAAGGCGCGCCTGATGATGTCGTGGACGGGTAGCTTGGTGGGGTCGTGGACGTACTGGGTGTTGAAGGTGGCGGTGCCGAGGATCAGGGGCGGGAGCACGGCCGAGAGGGCGATGGGCTCAACGGCGCCGTCCCCCAACGACGGGTTGTGGCCGTGGCCGTTTGTGCGCGGGGCTGAGGGCTGCCGGGGAACAGTCGGGCCAGCCATTCTATGGATCCAAGTAGCTGTGGTGCGCGAGGCACGGCGGGCAAAAGGCGTCGTCGAGTAAATGCGGCTGGTTGCGCGCAGTAGATCAGAGGGGAGGGGGGGATCAGCTTGGGGGAATAGCGACAGACAGGATGTAGCTGAGAAAGCGGCCAGTGGGAGGAAATTAGAGAGACAGAAGCTTCTCGGATCTATGTCTTGAAAAGGAAGAGAAATAGAATAAACAACGAGCTTCAATCGCGCGCGCCCACGCGTAAAGCTAACAGTCCAGGGAAGGACCTTTCTGTCTGGTCTGCTTCCCCTGAGCCCCGAGTGATGCCGTCGACTGTTGGTCTGAAAGTCAAATTGAGTGTAGTCTGCCATGTGGCGATCCCGACAGGGCCGTCAAGGCATCATTGATCGAGCATCATCCCTCCTCGCCTCCCTTGTGGCGCCCGTGCAGGGCGGGGAGCTCTCGGCCGAGCAAACCATGCGCTATTTGCGAGACGCACGCATCGCAACGCATCGCTTACCAAGACACAACTTGTCAAGACACGACTGTTGAGCCAAATCAAAATGATTGGTGCGCAACACCACCTAAGAGGCAATCAATCGCTCTTCCCCCGCGCTGTTCCTTCCTTCCATTGCCTAAAACGGAACAGAGTTTGGCGGCGGCTGCCTGTCCCGTCGCCCGCGCCCAGGGTTTGATGGGCCGATGGAAGGCGCTACTGCTGGGCCAGGTTAGACTGGCGATCGAATGCGGAGGCTGTTCAATATATTAAATCACAGCACTTTGAACTCGCCCGATTTACCCTTGACGCCAATCACCATTCCCGGATTGTCAGCGTCTGGCACGAGCGAGCGTGGCACTTGTAAACGAACGTACGAGCCAGCTTTTGCTCACTCTCCCGCATACGCGGTTATCTCCAGCACACAACTAGGCGGGACAGCAGCAAACACCAGCCTAATACCGCCCCCCTGTCGTAGTCAATATCCATCAAACCACAGTCACGTTCGGCCATTAGGCATCTGTCCATCGAGGATATTACCGTTCCGCCGTCGTGGCTTGGCGGCACCACCTTTCCCACGGTTCTTCTCCTTCCTAAGCCGCAGAATGACGATGCCAGCGCGCGGCAAGTGTGTTAAAGGCCGTTGGCGGGCGAGTTATCTTCCCAAGTTCCGAGCCATAAATGTCACGACGCGCCCCTGGTTGTCCTTGCTAGGGAGCCGCTACCTACATGCTGGACCGACTATCTAGCAGATTGGCAGTCAAGATGCGCTGTTCTGTAGCCCTTCTCCTGGGAGCTGTCGCCCTGTTGGGTGGTAATGGTAGTTTTTGAAAACCCTCCACTCCCGACGGAATTTGCCAGACGGGGATATGCTGATACTTCCGAGTTACCCATCTATCTAGCTCTGGGCCAGCAGTCGGTTCCATTTCTCGACCCCTTGACCGGTCTCACTTTCTCCAAATACGAGAATGAGCTTGGGGTGTCCTTCAGTATTGCCCTGCCTGATAACATTGCTTCAGGGGCACCCTATGATGCCGTTCTCCAGACGGTTGCCCGCAAGGACATCGGCTGGGTTGCCCTGGCCTGGGGAGGCTCCATGACCTACAACCCGATTGCGCTGGCCTGGCCCCACGGAGACGAAGTTGTTCTGACATCTCGGATCGCATTGTGAGTATGATAAATTGAGCGCTGTTGCCTGGGCCACCTTCACGCAATATCCGGCTAGTAGAGCATACAGAGCTGACCTTGCTTCCCAGTGGCTATTATGTTCCTCCTATCTACAAGGCCGCCAAATATCAGATCCTTCCCAAGGGCACTTTCGTCAACGCAACTCACTTCCAGGTCACTGCCAAGTGCAGCGGATGTACCAGCTGGGGCGACGACGACATTGGCGTCACCTACCTGAACCCCAAGGAGGACCAATACCTTGCCTTTGCCTACTCGTCCGCCCCTGTGGAAGAGCCTGCAAACCCAGAGAGCGGCTTCAGCATGCACGACACGACGGGCCATTGGGTCCACAGCTTCGCACAGGGCGTGAATCCAGACTTTGAGCAGTTGCTGTCAAAAAACCTTGAAGGGACCGGACCCGGCGAGGGCAGCAGCCCCGGTCCCTCTGCAACTAGCTCCGCGCCTGTGGCTCCGACTTCGTCTCTAGCGGCTCCGCCAATGGCCTCTACGGCTGTAGGGCTCCCGTTTCCGACTTTCTGCGGCTCTGTTCCTACCCGTCGGTTTCCCTATTCCCTGGCCCCTGGCTGGAAGGCCACAAAGATATCCGGGAATCTCATGAACCCTCGGGGACTCGCGTTCGACCCGCTCGGCAACTTGCTTGTGATTCAGTCTGGCTACGGAATTAGCGTTCACACATTCGGCGCCGACGGCTGCATGAATGGCACCCAAGGCTTAATTCTAATCCCCGGACTAAATCACGGCCTAGCAGTAACTCCGGACGGGAAGCACTTGTATGCTTCGTCCATGACCACGGTCTGGAGATGGGACTACGACGCCAACACTCGCACTGTGAGCAACCAGGTGGTCGTGATCAAGGGCATGAACAACGGCGGGCACTCGACCCGCGCTCTTTGGCTAGCTCCCAAGAACCCAGACATCATTCTAGTTCAAGTTGGGTCCAACTCCAACTGGGATCACGCGTCCGGAAACCCGGCTGAGGGCCGCTCTGATATAAGGGCCTTTGACCTGGGAAAAACACCCACAGGCGGTTACAACTACGTTGGCGGGGGTTTTCAAATGGGCTATGGGATGAGAAACGCCGTTGGTGTTGCTTTTGACCCCAACGGCGATGCCTGGGAGGTGGAAAACAGCGGAGATGTGAGTACACAAGCCCTGCGCCTTGTAGCACGTCAAAATGTGCTGCTCAGCGGCATCACTGACCAGCGAACAGAGCTTTGCGCGCACCGTTAACGGTGTCAGCACGGATATCCACCACGAGAACCCAGCAGAGGAGCTCAATTACTGTAAGCGGCCGTGGGTTGTAAATAGATATAAACCCTGTCTTTCGCAAGGCTAACAAGGTGTGATTCTTTATCTATCAGTGGGCGATCCAACCAAGCCAAACAACCAGTGGTATGGCTACCCGACGTGCTTCACTGTTTGGGACCCTTCGGTCTTCCGCGACAGAACAGACTTCAAGACGGGCGACCAATTCGTCGTAGCGCCAAACTCGACCTTCAACGACGCACACTGCAGTGGAAAGGCAGTGGCACCCACACTGTCGTTCCAGGCGCACTCGGCACCCATCAGCGGCCTCTTTGACGATGTGGGCGACAACATGTACGTGACCTTCCACGGCTCGTGGAACCGCCAGCCAGCCACGGGTTACAAGCTCGTTCGGATTCCATTCAAAAAGGATGGGGCACAGTATAAGCCGGTGGCACCTCCCGACTCCAACAAGGGCTACGAGGACATCATGTGGAGCACCGACGTTGAAAGGTGCTCTGGCAACACATGTTTACGCCCGGCTGGTCTGGTCTGGGATAACACGAGGTCGAGGATCTTTATGGGGAGCGACAATAGCCGGGAGGGTGAGCTTTTTGTCATTGCGCACGAAAGCTTTTAGTACTGGTGGTTACTACAAACACGTATTACTAGACCGTCTGTTTCTGGATAGATAGTATACGAGTTTCTATGGGAAGTGAGCACAAGACAACATGTGGTTTGCCAACCGCTGCGCACACATATCGTGTCTACCCAAGATCAGTGACTCCAGCTCACTCGGCAGCTGCAACTGGCTGCAGCAAGCCAGTCCTGAGAAAGGGGACCTCGACGCCGAGAACCTCACCGGTGGCGCGGTCCTTGACAAAGACAATCCTCTCGACGGCCTCGCCTCCGTAGTGTAGCCAGTCGGCAAAGGTCCAAAGCAGGCAGTCGTGCTCCGAGAGGCCGGCGCCCGGCAGGCCCGAGTTGCGCGGGATAGCCGTCTCCCACCAGATTCTCCAGTCCTCCCGCACGACGGCCCTCTGGCCGCCGCCGCCGCCGCCGCCGGGGGACAGCGGTGGGAGGTCGACGGTGCCGGGGACGGACACGCCTGCGGGGAAGATGCGGTACGAGGCCACGGTGTCGTTGTTGGAGCCCGACCCGGGTATGAAGGCACCCAGCGTCGCGGACCAGATCTGCGGGAGGGCGGCCAGCACGTCGGAGCCGTTGCGGGCCAGCGCTGCGAGGCGCAGCGAGCCGTCGTCGTGCCAGGCTATGGCGGCGGAGGCGGCAGCACCGGCAGCAGCACCCGAGGGCGGCGAGGCGAACCGACCGACGTGGCCGAGGCGGGCGGCCTCGTCGTGCGCGGCGTCGTCGACGGCCGGGGCCAGGACCGAGAGGGCGGCGTCCCAGATGTAGGACAGGCCGTCGCCGGCGCCGGCGGTCAGCACCACCAGGCCGACGCCGAGCTCGGGCACGACGGCCAGGCGCGAGCTGTAGCCGTAGGCGGCGCCGCCCTTGGCGTAGACGGGCACGGACCGCGGCCGCCGCGGCGTCAGCTGACCTATGGCCGGCACGTACACCTCCCACGGCGTCCCGACCAGGCTGCCGCCCGAGCCGGCGAAGGCGGCCGGCTGCAGCCACTCGCGCACGCGCGTGCGCGTCTGGAGGACCGTCCCGGTGAGGATGGCGTGTGCGAAGGCGGAGAGGTCCGAGGTGGTCGAGACGAGGCCGCCTCCGCTTTTTTGTTTGTTTTGCTTGTCAGCTCCCCCTCGTGGCAGGTAAAAGGAAAGAGGGATAAAGAGGCAAAAAGGGGGGGAAAGCCTACGGTGTGCTGTCGCCGTAGGGAGAGCCCCACGTGTTCTCCATTGGTGGAATCACAGCCAGAGAGTCGTTACCCGGGCTGGGAAATGTGTTCGTCATGTTGAAGGGCCCGGTGAGGAAGTGGGCGAGCTGCTGCGTGTAGTTCATGCCCGTCGCTGCCTCGACGGCGTACGCCAGAATGGTGAAGGCAATGTTCGAGTAGACCGGCTTGGCCATGGGCTCGGCGACAGGACGCAACGTGAGCATGGCCTTTAGGAGCTCTAGATTTGTTGACCCGTTAGAGATCAAGCATCGCAAACAGGCACTGTACGACCGACCCGCTGCTTACGTTCTTTGGAGCAGCCTTGGTTCAGGCCAATGACGCCACAAGGAGGGAAGTCGGTGTCGTTGATGGGAGGAAAGCCCAGGGACTGGAAATAGGACTGCAAGAAGTAGAACTCGGAGAAGCCAACTGTGGATGCCACCAGAAAAGAATGTAATCAGTCAGAGCGAGTAGGGGAAGCCAAGGGCGGGTGCGAAAGACTCAAAAAAAAAGAAAGACGTACAGTTGGGCGGAATACCAGAGAGCTGGGACCCGAGGTGCCCGAGCGTGATGTTACCCCACGAGATGGGCGAGGAAGGGCTGCTCAGCTGGGGCAGGTACTTTGTGACGGGGTCGTCGGCGTGCAGGCCGCTCCGGATGACGACGGCGCCGGTGACGACCTTGGATATGGGACCCGATCAGGTACTGCGAGTCCCTGTCCAGGCGCCTGGTGCCCCTCGACGTTGCCGCGCGCGAGGTGG